ATATATATATATATATATATATATATATATATATATATAAGGTTATAAAAAAATCAATAATTAACATCGAATGATATGAAACATTATATCGTGATACTTTTTTTAGCTATGTCGCATATATATATATATATATATGGGCTGGGCTATATAGCTAAAAAATGTGTCATGATATAATGTTTCATATCATTCGATAACGTTAATTATTGAATTTTTTTAATAACCTTTTTTAAACCGAGCAGTAGAAGAAAAAAGATTTAAATTTAACCAGTGTATTTTTAAATTACCCAATTTATTGAGTCAGACAACAACTAATTTTAGTTTTAACAGTCAAACATAATACAATTGAAATACATATTTCCTTTCTTATATTTTATATGCAGATTAAATAAGTGTAAAGGAAACATTTGGCCTGTCTCCTGAGGCCACAGGAGGGCACAATGAGCAAAATAAAGTACCTCGTTAAACTCTTTATTCAATGCAATGAAACAACGATTGTCTATTAAAAAAATTACATAATGTCTAAACTAATATTTGTCAAATATGATTTTGTAAATTCCATAAACAATTATCAACAAAATAGCATCATGTATTTATGCAGTGGTTCCCAAACTGTGGGGCGTGGCGAGACTGAGGGATAGTGTACTGTGCGTCTCGAATATGCATTTGTGTGAATGGCTTGGTTTCAGTTTTAACCTAACCAATATCTTCTCTGCATTGAGCTTCTATATTTCTCTAATATTTTGAATGGAAAACGCATCAGAAGCACATCTTGTGCGTTCAACAAAGACAATAAAATGCAACAACGACACTTACATCCTCACCGCATCTCGTGCACCGCTGATAAGGCTCCCTGACACACCTAAAATTCAAATTCACCGTTTTGCATTAGAATGCAAATTTTTATTTTAAATAAATATTCCTTTTTTTGATTCACAGTTTCCTCATCGCAGACGAGCACAGCACTCGTTTCAGCATGTGTTTGTGTGTTCTGTTGCCTGTCTGCTTGTCACTCATAATGTGCCTTTAAACCAAAAAAATATGAAACATCACTTTTTCAATTGTTATCATCAATGATGGTGTACAGTTGATAAATATCGATCACTCTTTTTTTTCACTTTATTTATTTTATCGTCCAGGCCTAATATATACACTGCCGTTCAAAAGTTTGGGATCAGTAAGATTTGTAATGTTTTTAAAAGAATCCTCTTCTGCTCCTCAAGGCTGTATTTATTTGATCAGAAATACAGAAAAAAACTGTAATATTGTGAAATATTGTTGCAAGTTAAAATAATGGTTTTCAATTTTAATATACTTTAAAATATAATTTATTCCTCTGATGCAAAGCTGAATTTTCATCAGCATAATTACTCCAGCCTTCAGTGTCACATGATCCTTCAGAAATCATCCTTAAATTCTGATTTATTATCAATATTGGAAACCGTTTTGCTGCTTAGTATTTTTTATTTTTATTTATTAAATTTTTTTGAACCAGTGATATTTTTTTCAGGATTCTTTGATGAATAAAAAGTTTAAAGAACAGCATTTATTCAAAATAGAAATCTTTTGTAGCAATATACACTACCATTCAAAAGTTTGGGGTCAGAATTTCTTTTTTCTTTTTCTTTTTAAAGAAATGCTTTTATTCAGCAAGGATGTGTTAGATTGATAATAAAGACTTACATTGTTAGAAAAGATTTCTATTTTAAATAAATGCTGTTCTTTTTTATTTTACACATTAAAACACATAAAAAATCTTACTGATCCCAAACTTTTGAACAGGTGTCTGTGTGTGTGTACATATACATATACATATACACACACATATATATATATATATGCTAAATGAAAACACACACACAAAAAAAATCTGGAAATTATTAGAAAAGGATAAAAGGTCTTTAAAAAAGTCATTACACTTCATGGTCAAAAATGACCACCATAGGAAATACTACAATACAGAGCAACTTTTGGCTGTACAACTAAATAATTATGTCTGAAAATACTTACAAAAGAAGCAAATAGAGAATACCCAGCCCTATATTTAAAGTTATATTTACATTTATTTATATGTATCTATCTATTATCTATGGAAGTATCTATTGAGATACCTAGTGGTTACATTGTGGATTTTCTTTTTCTCCCACTAGATGGCACCAATCTGTCTTCCTTGCATTGGATTTTAACTTTGGTCTATAAAATTAAACCCTGTATCAGTTGAAAATAATATATTTTGTACATTCATATTATTTTATATAGAAGGAAATGGTGCATAATCTAGAGGTGAATATTGTGTAATAAAATGAAATCCCCTTAAAATACAGTAAAAATACCCCCCCCCCCAAAAGTTAAAGACTAAATATTATTGAGATGTATAACATATTACATTCATTAATATTTAATTATATATTTCAATATTTCAATTTCATTAATAAAAACATTCATTTCTTTGGTCTGTTTTGACCGCTGAGGATCACATGTGTGACCTCTAAGTGAGGAATACCAGAGGAATCTGTGATCTGTTTCTAAAGTTTCTGCTTGTTATTGTTTAGGTGGTGGGACACGTCTTCGATCAGGTGGATGAGGAGTTGAGCTCCCAGTATCATGAGACTGTTTACTCACTGCTGGATTCTCTCAGCCCCGGATACAGAGAAGCGTTTGGAAATGCTCTGCTACAGAGACTGGAGAAGCTCAAACAAACCGGACAGTGAGGGCTTCAGTATCATTCACAATATCTCTGCTCGCGAACAGTTCAGTGCCGCTCTCAGCTTAAAGCATCAGTGGTACCTTTTTCAGTTTTTAGCCTGTGATATGTTTGAACAGATCTTCTTCTGACTTGCCTGTGATGTTTTAAAGTATTTTACTGTTATTTGGAGAGGTATCATTGCTGTGACACAGATGAATACTCCATTTTTATTCATATTTATGCAAATGAAATAACCCTCAGAAATAGCAACGTGCTGTTTTGAGGACTATCGGGAAATGTTTGAACTAAAGTCTTTTGTGTTCACATACTAGTGCTCTGATTTTGGATGAACTTGGTCCTGCAAATATGAGTTTTAGAGCTCCATACTGTACTTCCTTTAAAAGTACAGCATGGCTCTTAAAAGTATTAACATTAAAAACATATCAGATGCCTTACTACTTTCATTCAGATTTCTAACAATTCAGTTTTCTTTCGTTCAGAATTCAGTTGGTAGTTGTTAATTGAAAATCCTGATACATTATCTTCTCTTCCTTTAGTTTGCTACAGATAATTGAATATCAGACCCCTTTGTGAATGTAAAAACACATCGATTGCTTCATTGTTTTCTTTCTCAATCTGTCAAAATTAGCAGTAAGGATTGAACAGCCAAAAACATAGTGGTGATATCCACTAACACCTCCACAGAGTCATTTTTTTAAGAAAATGGTGACTTTCTTAAACCTGTTTCAAATATCAAAGATGGTGCATTTTAGCACTGAAACAGAAGCTTTATATTTTATATTTGCAGAATCTTTTCCCCCACAATTACATTACATAACAGCAGCATGTTCGACTTTTTGTTGTAAAGAGAAAGACAGTCCTATATATCGGAAAGAACAAACATCTCATATAATAGTCCAATTTTGGTGTTTTTAAAATCTGGTTTTAAATAATGATTTTTATTGAAAGATTTCAAGTTACGCAGAACCCTTGATTTACTGGTCAAAACAAAATGCTGAGTATTGCACTAAGTGAGATAAAGCAGCCATTTGCTGACTTTGTTTGAAAAGGCTGTGTAAAAATATGCTATTAAGTTACATTCCATCTAAGTTCCGTTTTGAGCAGAAGGAAGAGATTCATTTAAATAAATGCATTAATACAGGAAGTTGTTGTATGATGGGTTTCTACCTCATGTTGGGTGTTTATTTTGACCTTTTTAGCATGCCTGTGAAATTGATGTGTGTTTTCAGCTGGCAGGTGATAATGGTATGCTGTTTTGTGATAATAGGAGCAATGAACAGAATTGGTCGTCTGGTTTTAGCAAATTCCTGTGAAACCCAATACTCTCTGTATCTATCCCAGACAAACCTGCTAATTATTTACAGAATGTTTGCTTAGATAACCAAGACGAAAAAGTGTTTCAATGATGTACATGGCACAAATAACTTCTGTACCTGAAGGAATGTTGCTTGCTTTTGTTTAATTGTAATAAAAAGCACATTCAAATGCTACTTTGGTTTGATGATTCAGTTTTGTAGCCAAGTCATATTTTGCACAAGCTTTAGAATTCATGTAAAGACAATGGTTTGTTCTTATAGCTGGTTTACAGTAAAATAATTGTGCAGTCAATGATTATATAAACCAAAATAATGCTACTGTTCGATATGTAAACATGAAAAACAACTGCAAATTCTGCTTTATCATAATAAATTCACGTGTTGCACAGTGAAACACATCTGCCCTCAAACACATGACAGGTGACCTCTCAGAAAGAATAAAGTTGCTGCCTGAGAAAACAGAACTGAAACTGGAGTATTGGACAGTTTGCTCATTTTCTAACAATACACATCTTTACTATCAAAGTATTCATTTCTTTCAAAAAAAATAAAAATACCCCCAACTTTTGAACTGTAGTGTATGTATATTGTTAGAAAAAACCTTCTATTTTGAAAAAAATGCTGTTCTTTTGAACTTTTTTATTCATCAAAGAATCCTGAAAAAAAAATAAAAGTACCACAGGTCCCCAACCACGGAAAAAAAAAAAAAAAAAAGTTAAGCAGCACAATCATTTCCAACATTGATATTCAGTATATAACACTGAAGACTGGAGCAATAATGCTGAAAATTCAGCTTTGAATCACATGAAAGAATAATATTTTACAGTATATTTAAAAAGAAAAGTTATTTTAAATTGCAATTATTTCACAATATTAGTTTTTTTTCTGTATCTTTGATCAAATAAATGTAGCCTTGATGAGCATAGGAAACTTTAAACAAACAAAAAAAAAACATATATATTAAAATCTTACTGATCCCAATCATTTGAACAGCTCTGTCTGTGTATATATTTCCTGCAGGAATCCATAAACAGAAGAAAAACAAAAATCAGTTTACCATAAAAAAGTAGTTTATTTCATTCAGACACATTTGCCAATGTTTTAAGAAAATAAGCTCATATTAAGATGCAGTCTTTATTAAAGATGCTGATTAAAAATTTCAGTAAAACTTTCACAACCAGTTGTTTTAAAAAAAAAACACTTTGATTAGACACATCAGAACACCGTCTAGCCACACAGGAGTTAGTGCACACTTGATTTAATCCACCGGCAATGACCACTGTTTGTCAGCGTCTCGTTCTGGTGAATCATTAATATAACAGAAACAAACGAAGATTAGGCAATTTCTGTCGAGTGGCACTGTGTGCATAGTTAAAGACCATACATTAAAATGACTAATGTGCCATGGTTAGAAAAAAAGTATTAGAATAAATCATAAAATCTGCATCTACTAATATTAGTTCTAAAAGGTCCATAGAAAAAGGCACACATCCAGATGCCTCGGTTCTTAATTGTATCCCTTTGTAAGCATTTTTGGCTTCAGTGTTGGCCTTCAGTTCACAATCTGAACAGGGAACTTGATGCAAAATAAATCTTTGCTGGAGTCGTCTCTTAATTCCCATTCCACGACCAGTTTTATCTAATAAACGAACCAAAAATGAGGAAGTGAATGCATGCAACATTAAAGCATTGTTTAGTACAGGGGTGTCAAACCCACAGCCCTGCACAGTTTAGATGCAACCCTAATTAAACACACCTGATCCAGCTAATCAAGTCAATAAGGCTTATTTGAAAACTAGATGGTATGTGTGTTGGAACGAAACTAGGCAGGGCTGCGGCCCGCCAGGAACTGAGTTTGACACCCCTGATCTAGAGGTAGATGAGGAAGTTCACACTTACTGCTGGATACTCGTTCTTGACGGGTAACTGGTTGACGTAGCTATACGTTTTTTGCGGTTCAATAGGACACTGAATTCCAGATTTGCAGCCATCTGATTGAGGAATAGGGAAGGGGACGGGGATGCCAGCGACCACTCCGTGAACCACAGCTGCACTAGTCTTACTCTCAACACCTAGGGGAAATACAAACATGCTGTTGATTTCCTAAATTTAGATCAGGTTTATCTGAGCTGTTACTACACATGAAAAGCAACTCACCACTGGTGAAGGTTACATTGACCGAGTAGGACTGTCCCTTGTGAAGCTGGCATGGCTGTTGAGAGCAGGGCTGGATGTCAACCTCAGTGACTTTTCCTTCTACTGAGCCTGTAAGGAAAAACAAGATTTAAAAAGACTTGAAGTACAAATACAAAAGTATGAACTTCATAAACAAAGTACTTACCACAGTCCACAAATTTCACCTGCTCGGCGTTAGTGTAGGCGAGAAGAGAAAGCAAAACAAGGCCGAGCACACGGTAGTCCATGGTTCAAATGAGTCCTAGAGAGAACCAACAGAGCACAAACACCCGTTTGACATCACGCTCGATCACATGAGAGTGACTCTCTGTACACTCCCTAATGAAGATGTGAACGTTAATAATTAATACACACAAAACGCAGGAAATAGCAAAACAGGAACGGGCTTTCAGCTCAGTGAAAAAGTTAAAAATACCAACTAACATAATTACAAATTGCTTACACACCAGCCTCTCCTTCAGCCACTTGCTTCCACACCTTGCTTCCTCGTCGCGAGCTCAGAATGAGTGTGTGCTCCAATCCAGCGCTGTCTGTATGGGCGTCGGAATGACGTAAACGCAGTTTCGGCAGCTCTTGACCAATAGCAATGACTCATGGAAGTGGTCTGAAACAACAAGGAGGACATTGTGTTGCCAGATATATCAAAACCCCTCTCTAAGGCTATTATACTCGCTCAGGGATTGAAAAGAGAAGTAAAACGATCTTACTCTCTTGATTGTGTGTGTGTGTGTGTGTGTGTGTACTGGTTTATATATCCTGGTGGGGACTTAAACCTGAATACACACAGACTCATGGGGACTCGTGTCACGGTGGGGACCTGAATTGTGGTCCCCATGGGTGCAAAAGCTTATAAATCATACAGAATGAGTTTTTTGAAAATCTAAAAATGCAGAAAGTTTCCTGTGAGGGGTAGGTTTAGGGGTAGGGTTGGTGTAGGGCAATAGAATATACGGCCTGTACAGTATAAAAACATTACGCCTATGGAGAGTCCCCGTAAGGATAGCTGACCAGACATATGTGTGTGTGTGTGTGTGTGTGTGTGTGTGTGTCTTTCTCATTTTCAGCAGTTGAACTCAATTTTAAATGCCAATAGGACATACAACGTTTGCACATTTGTATTATATCGGGTGAAACCATATTTAATTGAGTTTGAGAGATTTCATGTGTAACAAACTCTGCATGTTTGCAGGAGAGATCACTTTTAGTGTGAATACAGATTGTATGTGCAATTGAATCAAATTGTTTAAAAAAAGACAGTTGTCTCCCCCAAAGCTGTGTAACCTCTGCCTCTCGCCTGCCACTCTAACTGAATAATGACCCTGACTGCATCTAAAATGTAACAGTTTATGGCTCTGGACACATTACAAAAATCTGGCATCTGTTAGGCTCGATTGGGCAAAATGTGAAATTTGAATCATAATTAATGTTACAGTTATCAGCTTATTTGTTCTGTATAAATAAGAGTTTACCTTATTATAAGAGTTATTATTTAATAATATTTTGTATTAATTGTACAAAAAGAGTAACAGATTTAATTAATAATTAAAATGCATGACATAAAACTGAAAATCTTGGTTAACTCTCTGCATTAAATCCATAGACTGTGTAAAAACATGGACGTAGTGCCCGTGACGTCACCCGTAGGTTTCTGAAGAGAGTTTTTGAAGCTCAGAGTGGGCGGAGCCGGCCGTCGCCATCTTGGCAGCGCGTCACCGCGCGTCACTCCCAGATAATCGAAAATGGGCAAAGAGGCGGGAGCAGGTTGCTGAAGCCACGCCCACCTAGCTCGACGGTGGTGACAGCAGCAGCAATCCACCTGTCACTCAAGTGGCCACGCCCTTAATTATGCAGAACTTTAAGGCTTAATATAATTTAAACGGATGAGTTATAAAAAAAAATTCACCCCCTCACAGTTGTCATGAAGGGCAAAATTAGCTATATAGAGCAAAATAATTTTTTGAACCAGGCTGTAAACATGTTTTTTTTCTGCTGATAGATCTTCTTTATGCACCAAAAGCTTGTAACACTCCAAAGAGAAAGGAAAACTTGAAATCGCATCATATCACCCCTTTAAAGCCAGCAATTTAGCTAATAAAGTAATGTTTTTAACGGACCATTTAAAAAGTGCACAAGTACATTTTTATTATTCTTTTTAACCTACAATTTTAATAAACATTTATTTTCAAAAATGAACATGTTTTTAAATGAAAGGGTTAAACCACTGAATCTGGCAACCCTTTCTCTCGCGATCTCTTGATAACAACTCGTCTTGCGCGTGCGCTGTGCTACTGTCCGAGTGTGTCGGAGATGTCGCTCGCCAGGAGACTGCTCAGAAGCGCCACTAAAACAGCCTCATTTCACTTTCTCAAGTATGCACGAATTAGCGAAACGCCACTGATGCATTCAGGATGTGTTGTCTTATATAATACGACTTTGTTTGATGCTTTATCTTCAGATAATAGCTAATCCACGTAGCATAGCTAGCTAGCTTCTTACAAACTTATCCGTTCTGTTACATATCATGCCAAAGCTTTTTAATCTGTTTCATAATTATTTTGTATGTAATATAATCCTGATGTGCATATCAAAACTCCTTGGGCATGCGTTGTTGTGATGAAGGGCATTGTGTGTGCAGCCATTCACCGTCACGTGCGTGTTTGCTGTTGGCCAGAGCCGAGACCGTGAGAACATGCTCAGCTCCTCTCAGCTCCTCCGC